ACTTCATAACCAAGCCAGTGTAGTTACTTTTTAAAATCAGGCTTACTGGGGCACCTGGGTGGCTCAGTCGGTTGAGTGTCCGACCTCGGCTCAGGTCATGATCTCACCGTTTGTGGGTTCGAGCCTCGCATCAGGCTCTGTGCTGACGGCTCGGAGCCTGGAGCCCGCTTCGGATTCTGTGTCTCCCTCTCTCTCTGCCCCTCCCCTGCTCATGCTTTGTCTCACTCTGTTTCTCAAAAATAAATAAATGTCAAAAAATTTTTTTAAATAAATAAAATCTGGCTTATTGAGTTAAAATAGATATGAAATAAAATTCACCAATTTTAAGGGTACGGTTTGACGAGTCTTGATAAATGCATGTAGTCATGTATCCATCGACGCAATCATGATAAAGAACATTTCCATCGCCCCGAAAAGTCTTCTCATAACTCTTGGTAATCAGCCACAAGCCATTTCACCAGAGTTGTGCCTTTTCTGTTACTTCATATAAATGGAATCATGCAGTATATATACGCGTTTCTGGCTTCTGAATATAATGCTTTAGATATTCGTTCATGTTCTTGTGTGTATCAGTAATGGGTCTGATTTTACTGACAAAGAGTGTTCTACTTTAGAAATCTACCACAATTGTCTCTTTACTGGCTAATGGTTTTGGGGTTTGCATTCAGTTTGGGGCTAAGATGGATAAAACTGTTTTGAACATTGGAGTATGAGTATTTTTGTGGACATGTTGTCATTTCTTTGGGGAAAATGCCTCAATTGCGATTTGCTGAGCTGTAGGTAGGTGCATGTTTAACTTTGTGCAAAACCATCAAACGGTCTTTTGGTATTTGTACCATTTCACATCCCCACCAGAATTTCTCAGAAACAGAAACAGGTGTGTTCCTGAGAGTTCAGTAGCTCCACATTTTTACCCAAACTCGTTCCTTTTCCAGACTTGAGCCTGGCTAGTAATTATATCATAGTATGCCATCGGCATTAAAAAATGTCCTTCGTGACCGAAGATATTGAACACCTTGTGTTTTTTGGTAATCATGTCATTTTTTTGGTAAAGTGTCTACTCAGAGTTATTTGCCTACTTAAAAAATCAAATTGTTCATTTTCTTGTTACTGAGCTGCACGTGTGTGTATGTTTTCTGGATGTGCGTCCTTTATCGGTTATAATTTTGCAAGCGTTTTCCACATCTGCGGCTTCCCTCCTTATCTTTGTCACATCGGCTCTTGGAAAACCAAAGTGTGAAGTTTTGAGGAAGTCCGATTTGTCTTCTTTAGTAAGCCTACCATCTTTTTTGTGTGTTTTCTGAATTTCTTGTGATGCTGTCCTAAAATTACTTCAAAATATAAGTTAGAGATTTTCATTTATGCAGAATTTTAGAAAAGTAACGTAAATGGCTAGGTAGTTAGCTGTTTCTCTACGCTCAGTTACTCGAATCGGGGGGTATCTAGGAACAGATTTTACACACTATACCTCAGGACAAAGCCATTTAATTTGTACATTGTATTTAATAGAAAGTCATCAGATTTCCGATAGGGAGCTTTGAAAACTTGAACATGATATTACATATCATCTCCTGATAAGGTGTTTTCTTTTCTTTTTTTATTATTTATTTATTCTGAGATAGAGAGAGCTGGGGGAGGGGGGCAGAGAGACAGGGAGACAGAGAATCCCAAACAGGCTCCATGCTGTCAGCACAGACCACAGCTCAGGGCTCGATCCCACAAACTGTGAGATCATGACCTGAGCCGAAATCAAGAGTAGGGCGCTTAACCAACTGAGCCACCCAGGTGCCCCCTAATAAGGTGTTTTAAATTGTTGTTATTATTTTAAATCTCTGGGCTTCCTTTTTTGGTATTCACATTATTCTTTTAATATTTCCAACGTATAAAGGCATATCTTTTATCACAATCGTTTTTTTGAAAATCTCGAGGATATCTGACTTTCCCCTTTGGGAAAGTATCTCCCCAGATACTTAATTTAGGCGGCACAGTCACATTTTCTGAATCCATTTTTGTCCAGTACTCAGAATTGAATTGAGTTTATTTCATTATCCATTTTAAAACTGTGTCAAGAAATTGTGTGTTATCCAAAAACATCACTTCACATTATGTCTTAGTAAAATACTTCACTACCCTCTGTGGGTAACCAAAATGATCTACGACAACTTACGTGGCCTAATTTTAGAGGATCCCCAATCTCTTCTCCCCCACCTTAGTCTCATCCTGGCCAAGTACTTGTGATCTCGTTTTATGACACATTTCAATTACTAAACAAAGAAATTTCCAAATAGATATCCCACAGAACTACCGTTTGTTCAATAAAAATGTTATGCTATATTCAAGCTTCTGGTACGTCAGCTGTAACTTGAAACTCTGTTTCTAAGGCATTTCCTAGTATACTGGAAGCACATTAGAAAAGAGATCATTGCACTTAGTCTCTAATAACTATCTTTGAAACTTTCCTGTATAATTAACAACCATTCAAAAAGAAAGTGCAGATGTACAACTGAGAGATAAGAAAAGCAGTTTCTAAATGTGTGAGGCGGAGTGCCTGGGTAGGTCAGTTAGGCATCCGACTTTAGCTCGGGTCGTGATCTCATGACTCATGGGTTCAAGCCCCGCGTCGGGCTCTGTGCTGACAGCTCGGAGCCTGGAGCCTGCTTCCGATTCTGTGTCTCCCTCTCTCTCTGCCCTTCGCCCGCTCACATTCTGTCTCTCTCTCTCTCTCTCTCTCTCTCTCTCTCTCAAAAATAAATAAACATTAACCAAATTTACATGTGCGATGCGTAATATAGCATATAAATCCATGCAACTCAAAACCGTTGCTGACCACACTTCTCAGCATTAAACACCACCACCAATTTTGTTTGACATGTATTCGTTCTCCTCAAGTATTCAGAGAATGCAATAAGCATCATTTTCTTAATTGTCAGATTTTTCATGAATATATTAGGGTATTACCGTTTTTTCCACAAGTCACAAAACAGAGTTGCCGTGATCTTTGCACATTTTCAGTAAGAGAGCCAAAATGAGAACAATTCTGGCTAATCTCCTCTCGGATCTGAATTAGTATTACAAGTTTGATGTTGGGAGTTAAAAATAGTATCATTCATGAGAAACAATGCCAAAATTATTATGCTGATACAGTGCATTAAGGCCTAATGAAAAATACTTCAACGACCATGAGCTAACACTAGTTAGAGGCATGAGGAACATTCATGGGGACTCTTTGGGGTGTGTAAGTCAACTACGAGTCCAGGAAGGAGCCGTGTGCAAATCTGGTTGCCATGCAAACACCTTAGAGGCTGGGCCTCTGGCTCTACTCCCCCCGTCAGCCACAGCAGCGTGGACACGGGCAGGCTGCTGTCTGTGCCGTGATGCAGGGGGAGAGAATGAGAGTCACCTGTTTGTCTCCATCTGGAGCGATCCCTCCCATTCCTGTGCTGTGCTATGCGGAAGATTTAATTCCAAGGAATTCTATTTGCGGTGGGGTTTGCTGTGTGCATCAAGTGCATGATGCTGTCGGGTGGAAAGCCCATCAAGGCACAGTGGGATGCCGGGTCAGCAAAACTGGGTGAACTATTCACGCTCGCCGCTGCTGGCAATGTGGGACACCCTGTGCAAGACTGACGAGGTTCTGTTGAGAGTTGGGCTTGTTAGTGCCGCGATGCGGGACCCAGAGCCCAACCTGGGTGGTTAGCTGTGAAGAGAGGAGGGAGAAAGGGAAGGCTGGTCTTGGACTGACAACTCCCTGCCAGTCAGGTGCCACCAAAGGCTTTTCGAGGGACACAACCCACATCGTCCTCTGGTTGTTTAGAAGAACCAACACCAAACTCTCTGTGCTGGCACTGGGGTTGCTTCTGTGGCTAGTCTCCAGGACGGTGGGGAGCTGGAGAAAGGAGGGACCTGCCTGGGAGGGGCTGGCACAGCAAAAGCCATCAGAATGATGACTGTGACCGGGTCCAGGTCCTCAGAAGGGGACTGTGCCCTGGATGAGCTGGTAGGGATGCCCTCCTCAGATTTGGACAAACCAGGTGGTGGGGAAAGGGTACACTGTGTAGACATCCACTGGGAATTCCCAGCATTCCCTCCCCAAGGACAATCTGAGCTTCGTTGGGGTGGTGGAAGGATCTACCTCTGCAGTGGCATCATTTAGTTCTTCTTTTTTAATTTTTTTTTAAGTTTATTCATTTTTGAGAGGTGGAGAGAGAGACAGAGTGTGAGTGGGGGAGAAGCAGAGAGAGAGGGAGACACAGAATCCGAAGCAGGCTCCAGGCTCTGAGCTGTCAGCACAGAGCCGGACGTGGGGCTCGAACTCACAGACGGCGAGATCATGACCTGAGCCGAAGGCACTGGCTTAACCGACTGAGCCACCCAGGCACCCCAGCATCAGTTAGTTCTTACTCTTACCCAATGGACCCACGTGTAGTTGAAGACAGTTGAGGTTTAATTTATATAAATAATTCTGGAAGCAGCTTCCATTAGTATTCTTGGTGTTCACCCACCCGTGTTTCCTCTTCTGTGACGCTGGCCGCCGCGTCCTCGAGACGTAGATACACACGTGTAGATAGATCATGTAGATATGTGTGGTCAGGCTTTGGATGCCGCATATTCTCCCAGGAGTTACTGCGGTATTTAGTTGTACCTGAGAGGCCACAAGGGTCCCGCCACCCACTGCCGCATTGTTGACACGCCGTATGGTTCCGAGAGGGTCTTCTGACCGGATGCAGGATGAACCTTGGTGCCCAGACCCTGTGAGCCTGCACGTGGTGACAGCTTCATGTATTGTATCAAATGTCCCAAAATACCGTGGTCACGTAAAAACTTCTGGGTTGCTAGGTGCTGAGACGGACCGGCAACAAAGATGAGGTGTTTTCTGGTTTTTGTTTGTTTGGTTTTGTTTTTTGTATAGCTGGTATACTAGCCATGTGTTTGCAATTTTCTAGTGTTTTCTGTTTTCTCTCATTGTGTTTCTGGCTTTTCTTGTTCTTTATCCTTTGCAGTTCTTTCTGGGAGAGCACTTTATAAACTGCTGGGTCTTCTGGGTATGGCTTTCCACGGGTGGAGCAAAGCCCATTTTCACCAGGCAAAGTGGATGACAACAGAGTCTGCAAGTCTGGCAGCCACAGGTGCCCCGGGAGGACCTTGATATCGTCTGTCCCCAGGGCTCCGTGCGACGAGGACATTCCGCAGGGCACCCTTCATGTCAGGACCGTGAGACATCGTCCTGCTTATTAAACACCAGCAAAGATTTCTGATAATTCAAGAGTGCGGGAAGTCCAGCACTGAGAACTAAGTTGTGGGACTTCACAGACCCGCCTGTCTGGCCCCACTTTGCCCTCTCCAGGCTGCACGCACTGCCACCCTCTCTGGTGCCTGTGGAGCGGGTGTCCAGGAAGCTTCAGACCGGCTGGAGGGCTTCGGCCAGAGGAGACACGCCCTTGGTTCTCAGCGGGCTCGGCAGCCAGACAGGCCAGCATCGTGTATTCGGGTAAGACCTAATTTCTCTATTGTTGTTGTTGTTTTATGGCTGCAATGTTTTGGTCTTGTTTGAAAACTCATTGCCTACTTCAAGTTCAATAAGACATCTGTGGTTTCTGTTTGAAGTCTCATGTTTCACTTCCTGAGTTTGATCTATGTTCCATTTCAAGGTAATTCTTGTGAATGGCATGAAGTAAATATCGAGGGTTATTTTCATTCCTATGCTTATCCATTTTTTTGCTGCAGAATCTGTTGAAAAGACAATCCTTGCCCCTGTGGGTTACTTTGGTATTTCTGACAAAAATTTGTTGATTATATGCATGTAAGACATTTTTGGGCTTTTTACTCTGTTCCATCCTATATATGGCTGCCCTTACGGAAATACCGCTCTGTCTGGTTGACTGTGGATATACAATGAGTCTTAAAATCGGCAAATGTAAGTCCTCCCACTCTCCTTGTTTTCAGAACTATTTAGACCATTCTAGTTCCTTTGCATTTTCATTTCCACTCTGTAATTTGTTTGACTATTTCCGTTCAACAAAGTCCTAGAAGGTTTTGATTGGGATTATTCATATATCAATTTGGGGAGAATTAATATCTTAACAATATTGAGCCCTTCGTTTCATGGATGTGGTAAATCTAACTTATTTAGGTTGTCTATGATTTCAGCAACATTTTGTAATTTTTACTGTACAGGAAATGCGCATCTTTTGGTGATTTTGTCAAAATAATTTTTGGGCGGTATTATTTTTTAAATTTCAGTTTTCAGTTGCTCATTGGTAATACATAGAAGGGTCCATGTGTCCTACAGCTTTGCTGAGCTCACCTGTTATCAATAGTTGATAATTTGTGGATTCTGTAGGATTTTCTGAGTAGATTCTCGCTCTCTGTGTCTCTGTCTCTTTCATAGACAGACACACGCACACACACACACACACACACACACACACACACACACACACACACAGAGGACCTTCAGTAAAACCTGAATGAAAGTGTGGAGGGTGGACATCCTTGTCTGTTTCCAACCCTGGAAAGCATTCGGTCTTTCATATTAGCAATGCTGCCAGCTGCAACTTTTTGTGGGGAAACGGTCCTGACTTTCATAGATGTTACACCAGGTGTTTTCGGAGAGCGGGCCTCGGACCGGAAGTATTATCAGCGTCTCGGAGCTTGTTATAAACCCCAATTCTTGAGGCCCTGTCACACTGAAGCAGAAACTCTGGGGCTAGGACCCCGCATTCTCCATTTTAACAGGCCGCCCAGAAAATGTTAATATATTCTGAAGTTTGAAAATATTACTTCAAATTCTTTATTGCTTTCTCTTTTTTTCCTTCCTTCTCTCTTTGGCTCACAACTTGCAGAGTGTTTGGTAGTTCTTTGGCCACGTGTCCCAGGATGGATCTGTCTGTGTACTCAAAACTGAGTTCTGGTGTTTGTTTCCACGTCGTAATATTCCCAGAAAGCCTGATGAAAGTCTGACGTGAGAGTACTGCCCTCCTCTTCATGGCAGGAAGGGGCCCTGCCCGACATAGCTCCCCAAAAGGATGGTCTGCCAAGCGGGGTGAATAGTAAGGCAGCCAAACGGGGGGGCAGACAGTATAATGTGTATTTTTGCCCCAGGTCCTCTTTTATTATTCATTAACCTTTAAATAAAGCCACCTCTTTTCAAGGTGACTATTTGATCTCACACTCTCATGAAACATCAGCATAATGAATTTGCTGATTGTTTCATATTTTACGCACAAAACTTCACACTCTCGGAAAGACAGGGTGACTTGAGGAAAGTTACAAAGGGGAACTTTTTTGGCCGCTTGAGGTGTGTGATGCCAGAGTCCCGTAAACAGCCCAGGTCGGGGCAGGTGAGAAACAGGGACACAGAACTGTGCACAGAGATGTAGCCTGACTGCTCTTTGTCTCAATATTTCTTTCTTTCTACGTTGAATTAGCCTGACTTTGCACTAAAGACAAGCAAATCCGATGAAAGGAAACTTACTCTGCTTTGACATATGAAAAACAAAAATACGACACGTTCCCACGCATCCAACCCTTCAAAAGAAAATACAGAAAGAAGATGCTAAAAGACAAATCATTTATCCAAGTTTATTCTCAGAGCTGGAGTTCAGAAACAGTGGAAGTTTCTGAACTCCAGCAATGCCTTTTGGAAGGGAAATAAATCGTTCTTAAAGAGGTGATGTTTTTATTCTCAGATTTCGGGCTCTCGTCCCGCGTGCTAGAACAATTTCGGCTTCTGTAAAACTGTGGCTCACACACATCTGCATACCTTCTAAAATTCATCAAATGTTGCCCCAACCCTCCTCCCTGGTCTCGTCTCCTCTTTATTCCTTAAACATCATCGCCCTGTAAATACGTACATGAAATTATTTTATCATGACTACCTGCCGTATGTCACAGGCTGGAAGCTACAACCCTCTAAAGAAAGATGATCTCCTAGCGGAATGGTATTTGGGTTGTAGACTGTTTAGGACCACACAGGCGGTCACCTGCTTGGTCCACTCATAAGACTGGCCCTAGGAAAAATTCATCCCTGTGCATACATTGGGGCCAAATGAGAGCTAATGATATTCTCCAAACCAAAGTATTCAAAGGACACACACAACAGAATAATTTCTAGAAGCTGGACAAGCATGGATGAACATAGGAGTTGCATGAATAAAATAATCATAATTTTTTTTGACGTTTATTTATTTTTGAGAGAGAGACTCAGAACGCAAGCAGGTGAGGGGCACAGTGAGAGAGGGAGGCACAGAATCCGAAGCAGGCTCCAGGCTCCGAGCTGTCAGCACAGAGCCCGACGCGGGGCTCGAACCCATGAACCGTGAGATCATGACCTGAGCTGAAGTCGGACACTTAACTGGCTGAGCCACCCAGGTGCCCCTGAATAAAATAATATTAAAAGCTTTTATTTTATGTTACTCTAATACACAAGCCCATAAATTTATCCACATCTAAAAAGGAAAGTAGTCTTGGTTATTGTGAGTTCTTTTGCCTCTGTTAAAAATAAGGAACTACATAAATATTTAAGCAGCTTCCTTAATGATGTTGCTAATGTTCTCAGGCATGGGCTTCTGTTGGCAGTATACTTTGTGTACCTGCTAGCAGCTTTTGTCCCCATTAGTATCTAAATCCCTTCCAAGTAATTGTGAGAGAATAGAGTTCTCTTTTTTGGTAGAAAGCCAACTTTGTCTGCACGTTGCAAGGGTTTGGCTAAAATGAATACGAAATACAGCGCAAGAGTAACGTGTTGTATCATTATCCACAATTTTCCGGAAACCAGGAACAGCCTGCGTTCTACCACTCTTCAGCGATCCAATTTCCAGGTTTGTGTAAAACCACATGGTTCCATTTGGATTGAGCAGATACGGCCCGGCTGCCCTAGGATATGCATAGTATAATCATCATCTAAATGTAGAGGACTCTTATCCTGGAGTCTCCTGACAGCAAGAATTTTAAGATTTATTTATTCGACACATATTTATCGAAAACCTAACATGTGGGAGGAGCCAAAGGTGGAGCAGACAGCAGTGCAGTAGGAGTTCATACGATCAGAGGACAGGCACGTGGGGGAGAGGGACAACGCCGAAGTCAGGGTGACCGAACAAGATGGTTACAGACTGAACACGGTGGGTGAAGGTGGCAAGCGGGGGGTGAGGCGGGCAGTGGGCCAGGGGTATCAGGGAACAGCCCACCCCCAGGAAGGGGTGACACTCAAGCTGGACATAAAAGGCTAAGAAGGAGACATCCACGTAAAATTGGAGACGAAGAGGTTAGAATTACGTTCCCTCAATGCAAACAGGTCACTCAAAACATGGAGTGACCAGGAATTTTTATTTTTGTATTTTTTATGTGAGAATTAAGCCCTAGTGTTTTCATTTCCTTCAGTGCTCTTTGTTAAAGCCAACAAACAATTCTTTTTGTTTTTTAAACATGGTTTATTGTCAGCTTGGCTAACGTACAGTGTGTAAAGTGTGCTCTTGGTTTTGGGGGCAGATTCCCGTGATTCGTCCCTTACATACAACACCCAGTGCTCATCCCAACAGGTGCCCTCCTCAGTGCCCATCCCCCTCAATCCCCAGCCCCCATCATGCCCATCACCCACTTGCCCCTCTCCCCCACGCCCCCATCCACCCTCGGTTTGTTCTCTGTATTTGAGAGCCTCTTATGGTTTGCCTCCCTCCCTCTCTGTTTGAGACTATCTTCTCCCTTCCCTTCCTCCGTGGTCTTCTGTTAAGTTTCTCAAGATCCATGTATGAGTGGAAATATATGATATCTGTCTTTCTCTGACTGACTTATTTCACTCAGCATAATACCTTCCGGTTCCATCCACGTTGCTGCAAATGGCAGGATTTCATTCTCTCTCATGGCCAAGTAGTATTCCATTGTATATATAAACCACATCTTCTTTATCCATTCATCAGTCGATGGACATTTAGGCTCTTTCCATTATTGGGCTGTTGTTGAAAATGCTGCTATTAAATATTGGGGTCCAAATGCCCCTATGCATCAGCACTGTGACCAGGAATTTCTAAAGCACGTAATTCTTACTCAGAAGAAATGGAAGCCTTAACACATCACGTCCCATAACCTGGCAGCACTGTGGTTCGCAAAGTTGGAAATCCTGAGTGGCACAGACCACAGCCTTTCTGCCCTTCCCCCGGGTCCCCTGCTCCCAGCCTCTTGCCGCTGGTACTCGTGACCCCGTGCCCCTTGGCGCTGGCGAACCTTGTGCTCCACACTCGTCCACGTCACTGTGGCAGAAGGACCGAGTCTCTCCTTACCTCTTGTTCTCTGGCCTCAAATATTCTCACGTCTGTGTGTTTGCTGGTGAGGTTATGTCAGTGACAAATCTTCTCTTAGAGACAAGCTTCTCCGGATTCAAGTCCAACAGAAGCACGTTTCCCCGTGATTCTCTTCCTCTGCCCTCCCCACCGCCCTGGCATCTCTCCTGCAGCTCTCACCCCACTCAGATGGGCTCAAGGAAAAGCAATG